TGACCATCCCCCTGGGGGGTGATTTCTCGCTGTCTCTATATCTCCTGGCAAGCGCATGGGCCCTATAGCGAAAACCTCTCCAAAAAAAAAAAGAAAAAACGTTATATCAAGTATTGGTTTGTTGGAAAAGTCATGATGCATTTTTGCATAGAAAAATGCATCACAACTTTCTTGATGATCCAGTATAAAATTAGAACTGATTATGACACATTAGAAATTGAGACTTTTTATTTCTAGAAAGAACATGAAGACATAAATGCTTTACTTTTAAATTTTTAGTTTATTTTTTAAAGGACTATATTCTTTTTTTTTTTTTTTTTCCCGAGGTTTTTGCTATAGGGCCTGTGCACTTGCCGGATAGACAGAGACATAGAGACAGAAAACGAGAAATCACCCCCCAGGGAAAATGGTCACGCCACAATCCCTTCTCCTCCATTCGCCTCTCGGGATCTTGGGCACGCATGCACACACACCCGGCGTGAGTTTTAAGCCACCGGGTCCGGGACGCGAACCGCGGTCAACTACCTGGGAGTCCAGCAACATAGCCATTACGCTAACTGCTGGTTCCCAAGGACTATATTCTTTTTAAAAATATTTTTATGAGATTTTTGTTACTGGGCAGGTGCACTCGCAGGAAAGAGAGAAAGCACGACAGAAAGCAAGAAATCACAGGGATGGCCATGCCCCAATCTCTTCTCCATTCTCCTCTTGGGATCTTAAGTGTACACACACACGCACCTAGTGTGTGTTTTAAGCTATTGGGGCTGGGACTCGAACCACGGTTGACCACATAGGAGTCCAGCAATATAACCATTATACCACATGCTGGTCCCGAAATCATTATTTTTAAATTTGCTATAGGGTACACATGCTCACCAGAGACAGACAGAGAGGGGGAAAGAGAGAAAACAAGTTGACAGGCCCAGAAAAAAACCAAGTTGTCAGGTCCAGGACTTGAGCCATAGTAGGCTAAATGGGAGTTCAGCATCTTAAGCACCACACCATCTGCTGGCCCCAGGACTACGTTTTTAATAGCTAATACTCCTTATTTCTTCCTTTTTCCCCAATTCAGGCTACCAAAATTTATCATGAATAAAATAAGAACAATAATCATTATCCTAGTCAATTGATTTCAAGTTATTTAAACCCTAGAGAAGCCAGCAGATGCCATGGCCAACCACACAGATCAATCCCAGACCTGGCAGTTTGAAAAATATGCCAGCAAAAAAGAAAAGAAAAATATGCTAGTCATATGTGCATAAGTGCCCCAAATCCTGAGAGGAGAATGAAAGAGGAGGGAATGCAGCATGGCTATCCCCCCAGGGGATAATTTCTCACTTTTGCTCCTCTCTCTTTTTCTCTCTGTTGCTCTCCAGAGACTACATGCACCCCATTGCAAACTAAACAATAAGAATTAAAAATTGAAAAATCACTTAACATTTTCTACTTTGTGTCCCCATAAAATATACAGTAACAAAACTCTTCAAAGTAACTGCTTGGAACTTGACTATTCCAATTTCCCTTTTTGCATTATAACACCTTTAAAAGATTCAAAGACTAGAGTTCCAAAAGAATTGAGATGACAGTTTTAGAGAGATAGTAGAAATATAAAGATCAAATTAATCTTTGGGGAACATACTTGGGCAAAACACAGTGCCTCTCCTTTATGTGGTGGATCAGAATCTCTGGGAGTAAGGTGTAGAATCCGCACTTTAAACAATACCCTGGGTCGTTATTTTGTACACTCTCATTTTAAGAGAGGAATAATGAAATAGAAAGGGTCCACTTAAAAGGCCGTGTACAAGCAGTTTACGTTGAGCAAAGGAGGGCAGGAACGTTAAGTGGTAGGAGGAGTTGTAATAAGCAAGTCAACACAAGCCAGAAGGATCACTGCGATAACTCAGTTTCGAGAGCTGTTTCAGCATCCCAGGCATAAAGAAGTAACCAGACCTGTCCCAGGTAAGCAGCTGGGGCATGGCAGGGAGCCAGGATTGTCAACCAAAACTGATGTGAACTAAAAAAAACACCAGGCTTTCGATTTCGTTTAATTCTTCTCCCAGTTTCTCTTATATTTTTTCATCACCCACGCTGAAAACCTAAGCCTTCAAAGGAATACAATATTAACTGACAGAGAAGAGAACCAAAACAACTCAAGGAAGGCACTTTGTTTTGATACCAAACAAGGGGTTTTTTTTTGCGTGCTTGTTTGCTTTTTGGTTTAAGGTAAAAATAATTGTTTTGAGGCCAGCCATTGGTGAGGAGGTTAAGTCAACTGGCTCCCACATGGCCCAAAGTGCAGTTTTAGTCTTGAACCCTGCGGTTTGAAAACACACAGGGCACGTGTGCAAGCCCAAGATCCTGAGAGAAGAATGGAGAAGGGATTGCAGTGTGATCATCCCCTATGGGGGGTGCTTTTCATTTTCCCTTTCTCTTTGTCTCTCTCCAGCCAAGTACACGCCTAAAGCAAACTTGGGGGGAAGGAAAGGTTTGTTTTTTATACTGGATTATGACAACCAAATTTCATAAAGATAGAATATTCATATGAGGGAGCCTTTCTTTCAGATTGGTAAATTAAAAATACACAATTCTGCAAATTTAGAAGTTGTTTTCAAATTAAAATGAAGAAAATAAGAAATTAAACCATTACAAGTTTAATAGTAATGTAACTGGTCAGTTTCCACACTTGTAAAATGACAATTTGAGACTAAGTGGTTTCTAATATTCTGTCTAGCTCAAATTCTAAAATTGTATGATATACAAATTCCTCAAAATTTCCATTAAATATACTGGGCTGCTTAAAAATTACAATGTAAGCTTATTCTGATCATTCGAATAACCCCAAAATGTTAAGATACTGATAGCTGCGTATGATAAAGAAGTCAGCAGTGCCGTCTTCAAACTTCCTGTTAGCACGTTCTCTGAATAAAGAGCAAAAATAACTATTTCTTCTTACTGAGACTGCCAATATTAATAGCACACAATACCAAGGCGGTGTTATTAAAAGGCTCTATAGTTTCAGAACCCTAAAAGTCCCATGAAAGTAAGAGAAACATCATTAGCTAACTATTAAATATCATGTCAAACATTGCTCACTGATGATCTTACATTCTGAAATATTTATATGAAAAGTTTGATATGTTTATTATATAAAATAAGCAGCAGGGCCAGCTGGTGTGGAGATTACAGTGGTTGGATTCCACACGGCCAACAGTGTGTTTGAGTCCTGGACCCTGGGACGTGAAAGAACACACTGGGCCTACTTGGATGTGCATGTGTGTGTGTGTGTGTGTGTGTGTGTGTGTGTGTGCGCGCGCGCACGTGAGCCCAGAATCTCAAAAGAATGGAGAGAAAAGACTGCAGCATGGCCATCCTCTCTGGGGGGTGATTTCTCACTCCCTCTCCCCTCCAAGGAGCACATTTGCCCTACAGTAAAAAAATTAAAAATTAACAAAATAAGCAAAATGGGGCCAGCAGTTGGCATAATGGCTATGTTGCTGGACTCCCGTGTAGTCAACTGCAGATAGAGTCCTGGATCCAGTGGCAACGGGCTTGTGTTCTTGAGTGCCCAGCATCCTGAGAGGAGAACAGAGAAGGGATTACAGCATGGTCAACCCCCTGGGGGGCGATTTCTCGCTGTCTCTCTGTCTCTGTCTTTCTGGGGAGTGCGAGCGCCCTATAGCAAAAATGAATAAATAAGCAAAGCTTTGCGATCTGAATATCACCATATATTTCCTTTGGTTAAATGGGACAAAAAAGAACCTTCTCAAACTAGTCTTCCTTCCTAATTCTGCCACTCTTACTATGCACATTACATATTCTCTATGTTACTGTAAGAGAGATGCACTACACAGAAATATCTATGGCGACACGATTGTCTCTATGCTGAAATTCAATGTGGGGTAAGTAAGCTTGTCATAATGGAGTTTTACATAGAATGTGTATTTCTCAACGTAAGACGATTCTGTGCAGTAAAAGAAAAAATAGAGGGATTGTGCTTCTTTAGATTTTCCATAATTATGTATCTAAACTCTCATGTTAGAGGACTGGTCTGTAGAACAAATCTCCTTTTGATTTGAAAGATAGATAGAGCAAGTCTAGCTGTCTAGGAACAAATTTTGTTTCTATATGAAAGACAGTTTTTAAAACTAAATGACATGAACTCAGAACTGGGAGGCCAAAAGACGTAGGCAAAATAATGATTTCCATTAAAAACTCATCCTTGCTGGTGGGGCTGACCCTGCTCTCTTCCTAGCCATTTTAAAAAACCCATGAGTCTGATTAAGAATCCTACCTTTAAGAATAACGTTCAACCATGCAGTTTCAGAGTTAACGTGTCAAGGCTGTAGTAGCTCCACAAGGGATACAGCAGCTCAGTGATCCAGAAGACGATTAAACCCTGTGTCTATCAGCAAATTAACAATCCATCTCTCAAAAGCAGCAACTTACTCAGACTTGCTCCATTAATTTCAAAACGGGCAGCTTTGGTTGAAAATCCATGACTTCACTTCTTGGAACTAACTTGTTTGGTTTGGAACTACACTACGGTTTTGTAAGCACGGTCTCACAATAGAGCCGATGCCTTCACCTAAAACAGAATCAGTTAGGGGGAGAGGCACCACGTACTAACAGTGAAACTGGGACTCAGTCACCTAATCATTTCCACAAGGAAAATTCACCTCCACTTGCATCGCAAGAACTTAAAACTGTTTTAAAACTCAACCAAAGCCCAAAGGTAGCACAGTACTCCACGAAAAGTGTTTTCTTTGGATTCTAAAAAAGGAGTTGCCATGAAAATAGAATTTATTCGCTAAGTCTCTAGGTTTCCCCCGATTGATCAAAGAGAGAGAGAGAGAAAGGGCCTGCTTGAGGATACTGTCAAAACACGTGGAAAGATGAGTTTTGGAGTGGCCAAATGAAAATAACTGCAGAGAGCGAAGAGACTTCTATTTTCTTTAAAACATCCTCCGCAGGCTGAGCGGGGCTAGGAGAGGGAACCTTACCTGCCAGCGGCCGTAGGTGAGGAGGATCATCGAAATGGGGATGGCGGTGCCGGACATGGCATGGGTGGAGGGCATGCTGTACTCGGAGTTGTAGAAGACCTCCAACTTGACCACGGGCGGCGAGGCGGGCCGCGGCCAGCGGATGATATCCTTGGTGCACTGGCCCAGGTACATGACCAGCACCCAGATGGCAACGAGCCGCCGGCCCACCAGGGCGTCCAGGTTCCAGACCCAGAAAGGGAAGAACATGATGTAGAAGAGCTCGTTGCCCAGCTCCGTGCCGAAGCAGAACAGGTAGAAGAGCGGCCAGTTGCTCACGCGCGCCAGCTGCAGCTCCTCTCCGGTCAGCGAGTTACGGCGCAGGACGCCAGCGCGCGCCGGCGAGGCAGGGCCCAGGGCGGCCGCCAGCCC